AAACCAAGTCTTTTAGAAAACAAACTGCATTTCTTAATCTATGACAGCTTCTCCTTTTCAGTTCCTCTTGTTTTTGTTTTCTGCTACTCATAGATGCAAGAGTGTATTTAGATGTAGGGATGTGTTTAGATGGAGGAAGTGCTCCAAAGATGCTCCACATGATACCAAGCCAATGCCACTGAAGATGTCTTCCAGCTGCTGCTTGGATGGCTGCATACCATTTAAAACTATACTCTCAGATAAAAGTCTGTACAGGCTTTCAGAACAATTCCTTTATCCATTCTGAAAGGATTGCATTTTTTAAAAGTTTATCTGCAGTTTTCAAAAGCAATTAGCTGTACGTTCTTGTGAAAATTTGTTTGCTTTACATTTCTCTGGTTGATTACATGCTAAGAAAAGCCATTTAAACATTGTCTTCACTGACCTAGCAGCTTCTGCAGTCCAATGGGATGTTCCATTAATGCACTCGAATTTACCAGTACTTACAGATTTTGCGCTAGCAAAGGTTTTTAAGGATTTTGGCCCAGTCCAGTGTCTCGGTTTAACAAAGAGGTTAGAAGTTTGAAAAGCTTCTTTGATGATTAAAGTGCAACTCACATTGCTGCCCCTTGGACTTGGCTGCTGAAACAGCAGATGTGGTAAAGTCAGCACTCTCTCTTTCAAGCTGAACTAAATGTGCACTGCTCTGCATTCACCTGTGTAAATTCAGCTCCCCGTAGGTAGTGTAAAAAGAGTATCAGGTTTTTCTTTTTTGCCACATTGGAATTTATTTTTAGTCTTTAATATTAAGAGCGGTAGATTTAAAAATATATATTGAATCTGTGGCTTTGGCGTAACAGATTATTCCTGAACTTTCATTTGTGTCCCACCACTTAATCTACAATCACAGTTAAGAAGGCCAGGTTTTCTCATAGAGTACAAGCTCTCTTTTTAAATCACTGAACGTCCATCGGTATTACAAGTTATGACCTGCTTTGTCTGTGCCTCCTTATTTATAAAATGACTGTGCTCTTTCATTTAATGCTTTGTTTATTGATGTAATTACAATTGAATAAAACTAATGGATAAAAATAAGCCAGTACAAAAGTCTCTTTTGGAACTGTTGAGAGTGAGTAGACAGCCACAGGTACTTTGCCCTTGCAGCACAGTTGTTGGGTTTTTCGTGGGATTATAAATCCTGTGTGTTGAGTCCACAAAGCACGCGCTGATAGTAAGTTGTTTTTAAAGTGATGGTCTTGCATCACCGTGGTTCCTCCATACTCTGTGGGGTACCGTGGTGCTTTAATGTAATGAACCTGTCCTGGGCTCCTAAGCGGAGTGATTTATCTGAAGTCTTACGAATCTTGAGAATTTCTTGTTCTTTGGGAAAAGCCTTACAAAGACTGACTCTGGAGAGAAAAAAACATTGCATTTGTAATAAGTTGCTGTTGAAAATATCAACGATTTTAGGTTATATAAGCATTCTGCTTGAAAAACAAGCATTATCTCTGCTGCAAGGTCTATATTTTAACTTCATGCAGATGTGTGCTAAAAGAACATGATGTGCTTATTTGTTGCATTTATGCTACTTTCTTACTTTAAGTAAGATGGATGAAATTACATATTAAATAAAAACAGCAGCTCAGGCCACAGTCCTTAGCAAACTGAAAAAGCTTTGCAAAGACAGTGGAGAAAATGACACTATGACTTTAATAACTCATTGGCTTTTGAGAGAATTATCTCCAGAAATTCATTTATGTAACAGTTTTTTTGTGGAATTTATTCAGTATTAACTGTCTCATGTTTAGAAATCATCTATCGTTGAATTGTGTTGGTGAAATGTTACCAGAAGTATTATGTTTTATATCTTAAAGATATCACTTATTTTGACATGACTACAGTTCTAAACAGACACACACTGATGTGGTGTGAAACTCCAGTCAGTGAAAATAGGTTTGTGGCCTTGGGCAAATTATTTAATTTCCCTGAACCTCAATTTTACTTTTCTGTATTATAGGACACCTAGTTTTTAGGATTATTGTTAGGATTAAATGAACACATCTCTCAAGCACTAGCATCATGCCCGGCACTTACCTGCCAGTACATGTTCCCTGTCATTCTGTTTTTCAAGCTTCATAAAGTGTGTTGTGTTTTTATATGGTACTTTTTGAGGCAGAAAGAACTTTGTATTGAGTATTACTTATACCCAATTCTAAAATGAAACTTTGTATTGCATGTTACTTATCACATTCAACTTCAGAGTGAAAATTCAGAAAATGTAGAATAAATTTAGGATATTTAAAGAATGCATGTTTATTGAGTGATTGCCAGGTCTAAGACATTGTTTCCTATAATTTACAGTTGAATATATTTGAAATCCAATAAGGGAGAGGTCAATCTGAATGCTATTCCCAGTTTATTTTATAGTCTCTCTTCCGTTTTTGTTCGCTCTTTTCCTTTTTCTGCAATCCTGTTGTAACTTTAAAAAAGTTTTCAAAATAAAGTAACATTTGACTTTGTTCCATAGTCATTTAAAAATAGAGTTGATCAATATGACATGTTAGCTAGGAGCATAATTTGGTACTTTTTTATTGATTTCAGTTACCATTGTCCTCAAGCTTATGTGTGTGAGAATGAAAATGATACATGAAATATGCACCCAGGTTAAACAGACCAATTTTCTTCTTACATTTGCAACCACTATAAACAGAATTCTTTGATGGAAGTGACTTTGGTAGCAGTCTCTCTCTTTCTCTCTCCCTCTCCCTCTCTCTTTCTCTCTCTTTCACACACACACACACACACACACACACACACACACACACACACACACACCCCAAATGCAACCTTAAGACTCCAAGCAGCCTCCTGAGCCAGTGTTTTTGTTATTGAGGCCAAGACCTATACAGTGCTTGGAAGTATATGGAATTTTCTGCCATTTAGTTAACTTTCATTAATTATAAATTGCCAGTCAAGGTTATAGATTTACCCCATGAATATGCTTTGGCATTTTAATAATTGATTGTAAGCCAGAATCTTGAGGATCTGAAAGATGTTCTACTAAATAACTGGTTGCAGACCAATCAAGCCAAGAGGATAAATACCAGGGAAGCCTGCTCAGCAGGGCATGCATTATTCAGAAAGTTGTGCAGAGAAGTTGGCTGTGGGCAGAAGTTGTCATGTGTCATGTCTCCCATCAGTCAGAGCTTCAGCAGCTGTTCCCTGTCACCAGGGCCCTTATGTGCCACTGCTTTTCCAATGGCAGTAACAGATACTGGCTGCTTCTCTCGTGGGCTGGGGAAGCCTGGACATAGACTTACATTGTATATCTCATTGGCCCACCAGTTTAGATAGAAGCTCATTTCCAAAAAGAGAGACAAGGGACCAATTCCTTGGTCTTTCATTGGACCACTAACCAATATACATTCTCAAGAGAATTAGTTAGATTTTGGAGTATCTATCTGTTTTTGATGAAAAATACAGCTATGGGATATAGGAAGATTGTACATTTGAACCCAAAAAGATGCCCTAAATGAGAAATGAGAGAGCTTTCTCCACCAGATGCCAGATTATCAGTACTGCATGATCACTAAAGAGGCTTTGGTTGAACACAACAATACAAAAAAAGACTGGAAATGACAAACATTCCTTTTGTGATAATGCAGCAGCCTGCCAAATGGAATACATCCCAGTTCTGATGATGGACAAGGCTCCAACAATTTCCTTTTTCCCTTATATTCCAGAGACATCCTTAGAGGAAAGGATTTGAGGGCATTAGTATCACTATCTGTCCGATTACTGTGTTGACATTTTTAAAGTGCCATTAATCATAGGAAATGGAACTTAATGATGTCAAAAAATACACAGCCAAGAACTATCAAGAAAGTAAGCTACAGCCCAATATTCAGATGAAATTGAAGAGGGAAATGGCTTAACCCTTCATTTTTTTCTTAATTAACTTATTACTGAACTCCAAAGCTAAGTGATTGAGAGGCAGCAAGCGAAGGAAATGGTAAACATAGCAAGGGGAAATTGAGAAAGGCAGATATTTTTATATTATAAATATTACAGCAATAATACATATAGTATATAAAAATATTCACCTCAATATTATGTAATTGAGGTCTTATTTGCTTTTTACTCCTTCCATTTTGTAACAAAGTTACTTTTTTTTTAATATCCCCTCCCATATTTTTCCTGTGGACTCTTGAGTACTTAATGTACTTGGTATAATTTAATCCATGTGAAGCTTGCCAGTCAGTAGAATTTGAGAATTAATAGTCATCATGGGTACCCAAAAGTAAAAAGCAGTGATATGATACATGAATAACAAATTTTCATTTGTCAAAAGCTGAAGGTGCTTACCGGATATTTTACTGGATTTTGGTATCATTAGTTCATTGTTTGCCTGTTAGCTAACTTAAATTCAAATGAGTATTTTTTTTTCTTAAATTTTTTTTTTAATTTATTTATGATAGTCACAGAGAGAGAGAGAGAGGCAGAGACACAGGCAGAGGGAGAAGCAGGCTCCATGCACTGGGAGCCCGACGTGGGACTCGATCCTGGGTCTCCAGGATCGCGCCCTGGGCCAAAGGCAAGCGCCAAACCGCTGCGCCACCCAGGGATCCCCAAATGAGTATTTCTAACTCAAATTTAGGAAACATCAGGTAAACATAGGTATCCTTATTTATAAAATATGTATGACACTAAACTCTAACAAACATTACATTGTAAAGCATTTCTGATGCTGATTTTGAGAAGGCGCTTGATTGGAAAATAGCACAGGAACCTACATCTATCCTCTCCTTTCTTTTCCAGGACAGGACTGTCATTACAGGCTGAGACACATAGTAGATTTTCAGTCAAGACCGATTGATTGGTTGATTGATGATATATGGATCTGAGATGAATGAATTTTAGGGTGACCTATATAAGGAGATTAGAAAATGAGTAATACTATTAATAAATGCTGGGGTTGTTTGTTTGTTTGTTTGTTTGTTTGCTTGTTTTTGCCCCTGCAGGTTTTTGTCATTCTTCAGAGGGACTCTGTGTGAGATTGGAAAGCCTGAAATGGAACAAAAAATAAATTCATTCCTTGAAAAGGACGGAATAGAGAAAATTGCAGAAAGTTTGCAAACAACAGTTCACACCTTACAGGTCATCATAGATGGTCTCAGCCAGCCTGAGAGCTTTGACTTTCGAACAGGTAAATAATTGAATTTAAATAATAGCATCTTTCACCTACATAGCTCACATTATCTTCTATTGCCCTCACAACAAACCTCTGCCATAGGCAAAACTGATATTATTCTCCATTCTGTACATGTGAAAACTAAAGCACAGGCCCTTTCTTCAAAGTCACTGTGTTTGGTTAGTATCCTGAGCCAAAGCTAGAAGCCAGCTCTCCCAACTCCTTGTCCCATGCTTATTTTCTATCATGTTAGACTAAGTGCATCATACATTGGCTGCCGTGAGGATGGAGGCACACATTTTTCATAATCCTTTTGTAAGCTCTTCTTATCTTGTAAGAGCCAGAAGTCCAAGGTATTTGGTTAATAAACTAAAAAGTGAATCTTTTTCCTAAATTGCAACCTTCCAAGCTCCTGTATTCTGTGTCAGTGAACACATTGAACAAATAAGATACTATCTCTCCGTTGATTTTCCTTCTAATTAAAAGAACTCTTAGCTTTCAGCATAGGTAGATGGTCAGGGAAGTATGACATCCATAGTTGTTGAGAGCAATGACCCCATGAAAAAGAACTAAGGTATTGAGTAACCCTCTGCCTAAGGAACTTTGAATAGGAAGCTCTGACATTTAAATGAATCTGCACTTGTCTCATAACCAGTTTTATGATACATGTTTAGGGCTTGGTTCTTTTCATTCTCATTTAGGCTCTGTTGAGGGAGTTAGACATGCTTCTTTGAAAAGGTTTAAAGGAGTTTAGAAATACACCCAGTAAGGGACACCTGGCTGACTCAGAAGAGCATGGGACTCTTGATTTCAGATTTGTAAGTTCGAGCCCCATGTGGTTGTAGAAATTACTAAAAAATAAATAAACTTTAAAAAAAAAAAAAAAACGCCTGATAAGTTCATTATACTACTTCTCAACTTTTCTGTAAGTCAGAAATTAATTTTTTTAAAAGTTGAAGAAAAAATACACAATAAGATAACAAAAATGTAGCAGTAGGAGTCTCCAGGGTGGTCCATCCAAAGTGGATGTTTCATCCACTTCTATTTGGAGGCCTGGTACCCTTGTATATGAATTCCTTGGGTATTGTTTAGCAGGATACTGAGGAGAGCAATAGATATCAAACAAGGTGAGATATAAGGCTGGTATGCGTAGGACCATCGCATTAGAAGATTGGTAAATATGCTGTCTCTAGCTCCAGGCCTCCTGTATTGGGTTTTCTTGTCCATCTTTGCTTTTCTCTCTTGGTGTTGATTGCTCCATTATCCCAGTTATAATGTAGACTCAGAGCAAAGATCAACATTCAGATTATATGGTTCAGTTAAACAACCAACTGCTAAGTAGAGGTCCTCACCTTGTCATGCCCTTAGTGAGCAGAAACACAGATGCACCTGGCTCTGGACCGAGCTTACCAGTTACTGCAGTGTTTATCAGTGTGATAAGTGAAATTTCAAATAAGTGTCTAAACTCACTTTGGAACTGACCTTTGCCCTAGCGTAAGTCACAATTTTCAAAATATTTGAAAGCTTTTATTTTAATACTAAAAATATCCCCAAGGGGTAAGGCAGACAGTCATACTTTTGAAGAGGCAGGTAGTATTGTGGATGTTTCCTCATTACAGTATTTATAAATGTTACATCTTTTCTCCGTTTTCTCAGAAGTATTTCCTTCCTTGATGCCTCTTTCTTTCCCTTGAACTCATCCTGTCTCTTTTCTCAGTGACAAGATCAATTCTATTTTATTAACACTCTGGTTGCTAGTTTCTATAATTGGATTCGTCAGAAGCAGCCTAGTGATAGCAGACTGAATATATAGCCTTGGCAATCAAAGTGTTAAAGTTTGCCTGGTACATGGAGGATTTTCTGATTTCTCAGTGGCCCAGGCTGTCTTCAGGAACATGTTAAGTAGTTCCTGACTCTGATTTTCCATGCAAAATTAAACTAAGCAGCTGATCAGGAACCCTTGGGGAATATGTAGCAGCTGGACCTCTGTAAGAAAAAAGAATTTCCAAGCATAAAAACAATGCCTATGAGACCTCAGAGACCATCCTACCTCTGCCCTGATCAATGACTTAGTTTCAGTTTGCTTTGACACAGTCTTTGCCCATTGGAATATTACATTACAACAGGTTTCTTGCTTTTGGAATCCACAACTTCTGTGTCAGGGAAAATTCTACAGAATCAATTCTAGTTTTCACATATTCCTTTTTTATGAGGAAAATGAGATTTGAGGTTTAAGGAGGGGTTTTTGTTTTGTTTTATAGGAAAAAGGTGAATTCAGAAAAAATAAAAAACAAAAAAATTTGATTTCAGGATGGTTGGATTGGGGGAGGGGAACCAAGAGGTGGCCAGTTGTTAGTACAACTGTAAAGGATAGCTTTAACAAGTAATCAGGATCAAGCCAACAGCTGTGGAGGAAAAGGAAGTGGGATGGGTGGAGGGAAAATGAGGCCTTAGTAAAAGGAGATCCAAGCATAGAATGTTCTTTGTTATTAGAATCAACATTCAGTAATCCTAGGAAAGGGGGCCAAGAAGAGCATGGGAAAATGGAATCCACAGATAACCCAGAAGCCCCATTTAAACTATTAGTTCTACGCTTCTCCCTTATAAAACCTTTGTTGTTGGTTTTGTTTTTACTAGAGCCATGATTCTTTGGCATGCTTTATACCCACTTTGGGCAGCATGGTGTTCATGAACAGAGAAATGTACACTGAGGCTAACAAGAAAAGAGGGCTATAAGGAACTTGAGAGTAGGATCTGCGTGTCCTCATCTTTGTATCTTTGTATCTCTAGCACCCAGCAGAGTGCCTGGACAGGAGATCATACTAGAGGCTAATAAATGTTTGATGAATTGAACTGAAAGAGGAGAAAGATTAGGTACTGGCTGATCTGGGTTTCTGAGCCATAGATAATCAAGAAGGTATTAAGTTTTGATTGGACAAGTAAATTCAAAATGGATAGAAATTGACTCCTGAATTCCAAATTTGTGGAGGGAAATGAGGAGAACACTTTAATTTCATCCATATTCGACAAAATGTTAATGGACTTTCTATCACCTTTAAACAGTTTGAGAATTCAGGTACTGGGGGGTTGGGTGGGGGGAATCTCCCAATTTTCTGTCTTTAAAGGTCTTACTTTCTCAGTGTTTGTGATTTGGCCTTATATATTCATTACGCAAAGATATTTTCTCATCACCTCCTCATAAAGAGGAAAGTTAAGACTCTTCTCATTCTTTATGTATAGTGCTAAGGTTTGCATGCTAGCAAGATACAGTTTGAGGAGAAAGTGTGAGTAAATTTTCTTGTATTGTTCCTACTATGTGAATGCTGCTTCTTCAATTAAGATGCATTGTCTCTGAAGGCAAGCCTGGGTTTTAGCTTTTTTTTAACGTCCCCTCTCAATGCTGACTAGTGGTCCCGACACATAACTGATACGTAGTAAATATTTATTTACTAATGTATATTAGTACATGATACAGGTCCAGGAAATATAGTACATACTATTTACACTATCTTTTCTTCCCTTTTTCTTGTAGATTTTGATAAACCAGATTTCAAGAGAAGCATAGTCTGCTTGGAAGACCTGCAGGTTGGGACTGTTCTTACAGGCAAAGTTGAGAATGCCACTCTGTTTGGAATTTTTGTAGATATAGGAGTGGGGAGATCAGGGCTGATTCCCATACGAAATGTAACAGAAGCAAAACTTTCTAAAACAAAGAAGAGAAGGAGTCTTGGCCTAGGCCCTGGAGAAAGAGTAGAAGTCCAAGTACTCAACATTGACATCCCCCGATCTAGGATTACTCTGGACCTCATTCGGGTGTTGTGAGTGTTGCATTAAAGGTCAAACACCAATTTTATTTTTCTCATTTCTATAGATGTTTAAGAATAAGTCAGTCAGATGTTTGTGAATTCTAGGTAGTAGATGAGAAAGAATTCACTCAATATTTTGAGGTATTTTTCAAACACTTTCCTTTTCCTTCTGAATAAATAGAAAACTAAGAGCTCAGTTACTTTTCCCCTTAAAGAAAACAACTAATAGACATCCTTATGTCATTTTATTTAATAATGGTTTTCTGACCCAAATTTTATTTTTTGTAGTTCATCTTTGACTCCTTTTGCATTTTATATTATAGATTCTTGTTTCATTTCTACTTGCCAGCTTGCCTTGCTGGACTTGTATGGAATTGTGTTCTTGATTTGAACTGTACAATGTTTCTTGACATAGTAGGGCAGGTGGTGGTTGGCCTTCCTTTTTATAGATTTTTTTAATCAGGCCTTTTGGACTTGATTCATGATTTTCTCTTGCCAAGGAAATAAAAAATATGCCTATTAGATAGATCCTGATGTGTTTGTAACCATCAAGTGAATGGCTCAAAACATCGCTGAGAAGTATATATGTATTGATCCCTACAATAAAATTCTGTGGCTAGTGACCTTGTTTTTGTTATGTTGATTCAGTGAATGACCTAGGACTCCTTCTTGATGTGGCACATATTCATGCAATTTTCATATAAACCAACGGTGCCTTTGGGCAAGGGGGATGCCTCTGGAAACTTGAAGAATGGCATTTGGTTTGACTTGGCTTAGGACGGGAAGCTATACTCTTTCTTAAGCAGTAGGGCTAAACTTCAGATGAGGAAAGAAATGGCCTTCCTAAAGATTGACTGTAGGTCAGGTATGAAGGGACAAGAAAAACAAGTAGGTAAAGCAAGTGACTCTTAACTCTGTTTTTATTCAGGGGAGGTGGTAAGTATTAGCATGACCATTCAGGGGCAAAATTATTTAGATAGAGCCCACACTGGACTGGGGTCTTATCCATTCTGGCTGCTCTGGCTAATTTGCTTAATGGAGTCATTTGCTTGACTGAATGAATACTTGGTTTTCTCCATGTGTAATGAGTGGAAGATACTTACTAAAGAGGGTGACCAGTCCTGCTTTTTTGCCTGGGACTGTCCTAGTAAACACTCACTGCCATAGTATAGGTTTTTAATAGTATGTCTTTTTATTCCCAAACTGCCTCATTGTGCATAATAAACTGTATGATCATCTTAGTAGTATAGTCTCTTACAAAGTGGCAAATTGGACTGTTCATTGATAGTTTTGCCTGGTAGTTTACTAAACTCAAAATTTTCAGTCTTCCAACTGGTATACATAGATCTTTTTGATGCAGTAGTTTCCTTAAAAGTTGTATAACTCAAGGCTTGTTTTCCTGACAATTTCATTTCTGAAATGCTTTTCTCTCTTTTCTACTGGTCTTCAAGTGACAGTGGATCTTAATGTTGTAACTTTAAGTTGATCTGCCTACTCCTTCCAGTGTTCTTCCTGGTTCATAATTTGTAGATCAGTGATGAGTAATATGCACCCAAAGAGTCTTGTTCTGAAGCCTGCAATGTAATCTCAAACAAATGCTTTTTTTTAATTGAGGCATAATTGGCATATAACTTTATGTTAGTTTCAGGTGTACAGCCTGATTCACCACTTGTATGTATTTCAAAATGATTACCATAATAAACCTAGTTAACATCTATCATTATATATAGTCAAACAAATGCTTTTTGGGAAGAAACCTTCTCCTTGGCCACTTTGAATAAAAGAACCAGAGTAGCAGAAGCAGTTCCATTGGCCTGGTAGCTAAGCCCTTGTAGACACAAGGAGAACTTGATATTGCACTAGGTTGCCTGGTTTGTCCTGTCTAGCCCAAACATGGTGGAAGCTCTATAAGGCCTAGGCTGGGACAAGTGGGGCATGTCTCATTCATCTTATATTTCTAGAATGTAGCATGGAACATCAGAATGTTCAACTAATCCTAGTCCCTATCCTACTGATAATCCACAATGTCCTTTTGATCTGGTGTCTTTACTTCTCTGGGCCTCCTTTTCCCAAGTTTAAAGTGGGGATGATGGTAAAGCACTCATTCTCTCAGAATTTATTGGTGGCCTCCTGAGTGCCAGGCATTGTGCTGGACACTGACCATAAAACTATGATGGAAAAATAGACATTATCCCTACCCTTATGGAACTTAGAGTCTATTGAGAAAAAAAGAATCATTAACTGAGAAATCACATACGAATATAAAATTAAAAGCAAGAGAAATAATATGATGACAGCATGTAATCGGTTTACCTAGTCAGAAATGTCAGAAAATATTTCAGTGGGGTTTGACTGAAATGTGAAAGATGCCCGGAAGTTAACTAGGACAGCTATTTTGTTAACTTTAACAAGAGTTGTTTCTGATAAAAGGTGGGGGTGAGAGCCTGATTGGAGTGGGTTTAAAAGAAAATGGGAGGATTTAGATTGGGGATAGCCATTATAGATCATTTGTTCAGGAGGTTTGTAAGAGAAATAGTACAGTGGTTAAAAGGAAAAAATTGAGCCTAGAGAGCATTTTTGTATTTTTTTAAGAAGACATAATAATATGTACAAGTGGAAATGAGCTAGTAAAACCGAAAATTTTGAGACAGGAGACAGAGGAGAATCACTGGAATCATAACCTTGAATGGATGAGCCTGGGTGGAATCTAATACACAGTGACTGGTCTGAGATAGGAATACAAACAATTTGTCCCTATTAACAAAAGAAGATTGTATGGTCCCAGACATAGGTAGGAGGACATGGTGATTGGAGCTCATTGAGGGTTTCCTTGGGTTGCTTTTATTTTTCTCATTGAAATAAAAAGGAAGGTGATCATAGAAGCCTGAAAACTGGGTGTAAAGGGAGTCCGAGGTGTGAGAAGAAAGGAAAAGGAAAGAAAGAAAAAGATGAGAGTGAAAAGCCTAGGGAAATAGAATATGACTTTCATGCAGTGTTAATGTTCCACTGCAGGGTAAGGGTCAGTCAAGTGGAGGATCAATCTTCTTGCTTATATATTTTTCTTCCACCACAGCAACTGGGTGGGCACAGGTAGAGAGGTGGATCTAATCAGGTTTGGGAGTTTGCCAAATGAGTGGACAGAAAGGTAAGGAAGTTGAGGGCATGTAGACAAATTGTTGACTATGGAATTTAAACTTTGTAAGAAGAAAAGCAAAAGTATAAGGGGAGCATGAGGGTCAGTGAAAAAGTACAGGACTAATGATTGTAGGTCCTGAAGGAGTTGGAGGAATGTTAGAGTGGGGATAACAGAGGACATGATGGGTGAAAAGTGGTCATCAGCAGTGGAATGCTTAACTCTGAAATTACAGCTGTCAGGATTGTGGTGCTGGGTAATTACAAAGGGTAGGGAAGGATCATGGGAATAAGTAGCAGAGGTAGGCGACAAGGATAAGATCATTAGAAAAGAGGAAGACTGAGTCTTCAGGGAGGATTATGTGGATGATGATTTTAGGAGGCCATCACAGCAATGTAGGCATAAAATAGTGGTGGCTTGGACAAGAATGTTAGTGGTAAAATGGCGAGAAGCAGTGGGATTCTGGATGTATCTGGAAGATGAAGGCAGAGCCAAACAGGATTTCCTGGTGTATTAGATATAAGATATGAGACAGACAGGAGTCTAGGATGGTTTTTGGCCTAAGGAACCAGAAGGACACTGTTACCTACTGAGGTGCAGAAGGCTGTCTTGGAGAGTTTTAGTGAAGGACTTCATTTTGGACCAGTTAAATTTGAGATCCTCAAATTTTTAAATTTAGAAATCCAAGCAGAGGACAGCCCCGGTGGCCCAGCGGTTTAGCGCCACCTTCAGCCTGGAGTGTGATCCTGGAGACCCAGGATCAAGTCCCACGTCAGGCTCCCTGCATGGAGCCTGCTTCTCCCTCTGCCTGTGACTCTGCCTCGGTGTGTGTGTGTATGTGTCTGTCATGAATAAATAAATAAAATTAAATTTGAAAAAAAAAAAAAAAGAAAGAAATCCAAGCAGAGATGCCAAACAGGCAGTTGGCTGTTTCTGCCTAAAGTTCAGGGGGGAGGGCTGGGTGAGAGTGTCAGTCGGTACCTGGTAGCATAAAACTGTGCCCACAGCCACAAGGCTGAATAAGATCACCAGTGTGTATAAATTCTTTGAACATCCCCATAAGGGCAGGAATCTGTGTTGTTGTGGCTAATCTTGCCTCATTGCCGATTCAGCATTCTTCCCTCCTTCTTACTAAAAGAATTCTGTTTTGAAGTGATCATAACATGACTGACAGGCACAGATGTGGCCCTGTGGTCTAGTTCTGGCCCGTGAGTGTAGGCAAAAGTCATGGGATGGGATTCTAGAAAGGCTAGGTGCCAGTATCATCTTTTTCTTATCCTTTGTCCTTGCCCTCCTTCCTGCTCGGAGTGCGGACAGAATGCTGAAAGTGCTGGAGGTCAGACAGTGAAGGTCAGACAGTGACAAATACTCAATAGTGACTGCTAGACAGAAAGATAGAAAGTTCCTGAACCCATCTTGGCATTGTAGAGTCACACAACAGCCCTGAACTGCCTACTCTGGACTTCACATTAGTTCAAAAAACAAAAGCTTTATTCATTTAAGCTGTTGAGGGGTCAGGGGGAAGTTATTACAACAACACACTACAAAGTATCTAGAAATAATCTAATCTAACAAGGTGCAAGATCAGTTTGATGAAAATGTATAAAACTTTACTACTGAATATAAAATAAAAGCAGAAAACATTAAGGCATACCATGTTCCTGGATTGCAAGACACAGTATTATAGAAAGATCAGTCCTCCAAAAATGATTATATATGCCTACTTTGGGCAAAACTCTATAATTATTCTGATCAGCTTTGCTTTTGTTAGTCTGTTTATTCAAACTGAAGTCAGAAGTTAAACTTATTTGGAAGAATTATGTGGAAAAAAGTCAAAACAATACTTTAAAAGAATAATATGAGGGAATTTGTTCTTTCCAGATATTAAAGTATAGTCCAGAGCTACCATAATTTAAACTGTATGGTACTAGCACAGAAAGAGGCAAACAGAAGAATGGAATGAACAGAATTCAAAATCTGGGGATTTAATGTACGTTAAAAGTGGCTTTTCATATTAGGGCAAAATCATATTGCCATACTACCACAAAAACAAATTACAGATGGGTTAGCCACAAAATTTAAAAGAACTACAAGCAAACATGGAAGAGCTTTATGGAATGATTGAACAGCCAAGGTTGCAGAGTACAAGAAAAAATAGAGCACAGGCCTGGAGGCCTCAGAGTTCCATTCAGAAGACATTTACTAGATGCCCAGCATGAGACCCTGTGCCAGGTGCTGGGGACAAAAGATGAATATGATATCTTTCGAGGATGTCTGCAACCATGGGGAATTGGAACTTAAACTATAGGACAGAATATTTTAAATTAAATATCATGGGCATTTTGAAGTTAAACCTGGCTGCTGTCTATTCCAGAATATGGTGTCATCCCATCTCATTTGAAGCCACAAGACCCTTTGGAATACTTGGTTTTCCATTAGTGGAGTGCTCATGTTGAGGTATCTATACATCTAACCCTGACCTCGGAGTTAGCACTTGTGTTAATACTGGAGATGGAAAGAAGGGACAGAATGGAAAAAACAAAAATACGTATTTAGTTAGTCTTTTCATTTTGGCTTCCTGCCTGAAATCAGTCATAATGAATTGGATTTAAATAACAGATCGTGGAGAACTTCAGAATGACTGGGCTCATTGCCAAAGCAGCCTGTTCGACAGGAAGAGAGATATAGACTTCTTCCCACTCACTCATTTTATACGGTGAGGATGATTCTGTGCGTGGAGTCTAGGTTTATTATTTAGAGGGAGAGTAGGATAAGCAGACTCTCGTCCTGTCAGCACTAAAAATTACCTTTTTAGAAATTAAGTATTTTCCCCAGAAAAGATTTGCTATTCTCTTAGCTCATATCAAGAATTTAAATAAGGTTTATAATACCCCTGCCACCAGTATTTTTAAGGAGAAAAGTCCACCCCAGAAGAATAGAAATAAATTATTAATCTAAACACTACAGGGAACCCTCTCAGATACCAGAGAATTTGTTACAGCTGTATAGTCAGCCCCATGTGACAGGTCAATCCTAGCAGAAAAATCTAAAGTTGAAGATGCAGTGTTGAAGGGAAAGATGGGGTGATAAAGAGAGAGCAATGGAATAGCCCAGCATTGTTTTGTCTCAAGTTTTGAGTTTTGTTTTATCTAAGTAATGATTGCAAATGTAAGTCTCCAAGTTTGTTGAAGAATTTTACAAAAGCAATCAAGTGACAGAGGGATGAATGCCTTCTACTAAAAACTTCTCACGCCTGAGGAACTTTCCACCTCCTTATCACCAGGCCCACAGTAACTGGGGAGGTTTTCTGCAAGGGAGCAACTCTCCTCTGGATGTCTTTCTCTGGTCATAGTGGTGGTTCTTTGATCACTTGACATTTGCCCACCAGCTTCCCAGGTTTGAATCTCTTGGCAATGAAGAAGAAAGTGGAACCAGACCTAAGGTTTGTTCAAGTTCTTTGCTTCATAAGGTTAAAATGATTCCATGAAACTAAAACTCAGTATGCCAGTTGAGCCAAATTCGGTGTAATTTGCTGCATGGGTAACCCAAACCACTAAATTTCTAGTAAATCAATAACCTCACTTTACCTATAATGGTACCCTCAAGGAACGTCTAAAGGTATTTTGGTCATTTTCTTTTAACTTGATTTTCATTATTTTTCCCAATTGAAAAAGTAATACAAATAGTGTAAAAAATACAAATAATGAAATATAAAAGTTGGAAAACAAAATCCCCTGTAATTTGAGAAGTAGCCCCTTTTTAATTTTTTTCCTCAACCCTTTTTCTACACATAGACTTTTTCATGTATAAATGTTTTTAACAAATCAGGATACGAGTATATATATTGTACCTGGGCAGCCCAGGTGGCTCAGTGGTTTAGTGCCGCCTTTGGCCCAGGTCGTGATCCTGGAGACCTGGGATCAAGTCCCATGTCAGGCACCCTGCATGGAGCCTGCTTCTCCCTCTGCCTGTGTCTCTACCTCTGTGTGTGTGTGTGTGTGTGTGTGTGTGTGTGTGTGTGTGTGTCT